GTACTGGGGATTAAACTCAGGAGCTTGCACTTGCCAGGGAAGCACTTATTCTACTGAGCTATCTCCCCAGCCCTAGAAAATGCTTGCTTAGATTTTCTTCTACTAAATCCAAACACATATGCAATAAATGAAAAATTAATAGCAAAATTTAGTATCAAAATTTAATACCAAGATTTAGTATCAAAATTTAAAACTTCTCTGGTTCAAAGAATGTTATCAAGAAAATAAAATATAATCCAAAGAATGGGAGAAATTATCTGTAAATCATACATCTGACAGGGACTTATGTCTAGAATACACAAAAATTACTTGCAACTCAATTTTAAAAAAAAAAGCCTAATTAAAAAGTATACAAAAGATCTGGCCAGGGAGATGGCTCAGTGGAATAAGCGCTTCCCTGGCAAGCGCAAGGGCATGAGTTCAATCCCTGGTTCCGCAAAAAAAAAAAAAAAAAGTATACAAAAGATCTAAGTTGCCATTTTCCAAAGAATACTTGACATCATTATCTACCAAGAAATATAAATTAAAACAACTGTAAGATACTACCTCATACCCACAAGCACCCACACCAGTGAAGATGACACAATAACAAATATTGATGAAGACGTGGAAAATGAAATGTTCATACATTTCTTGTGGACTGTAAAATTATTCACTGCTTTGGAAAATAATATAGGAGTTCCTTATAAGGTTAACTATATAGTTACTAGATGACCCAGCAATTCTACTTCAACATATATGTAGCTAGATGGATAGATAAGTAGATACAGATATATAAATATATAGATTTATCTTTGAGAGAAATTAAAACATATGTCTACACAAAAAATTGTGCACAAATATTCATAGCATAATTATTTATCATAGCCTAAAATTCTAAGCAACTCAAATGTCCAACAACACATGAGAAGTATAGAGCCAAAGATGTAGCTCACTGACACAAGCACTTGCCTGGCAAATGCAAATGCAAGATCCTGAGTTCAATTCCTGACACAAAAAAGAAAATGAAAATGAAAAATAAAGTACAATACATTCATTCAATGAATATTATTTGACCATTAAAAGAAATAAAACATTGGTCCACAATATAACTTCATCTAAGGTATGTTAAGTGAAATAAGACAATCACCAAACACCACATTTTATATAATCTCATCTATGTGAAACATCCCAAATAAGCAAATCTATAGATAGATCCATGTTTGTGTTTTAGGAATAGAAATTTACTACTTACGGGTACAGGGTTTCTTTCTGTGGGGATGAAAATATTCTAATTGATTAAATTATCTTAATGTGGTGATTGTTGGACACGTCTATGAATACATGAAAACTACTTAAAAATTTTTTAAAACTAAGTAAGATCATACCATCCAGTGAGTCCCAGCTATATTAATAGACTCAAAACCTTGGTTCCACTTACTATAGATTTCCTTGACTACAAATAGGAACCAAACATTGAAGTATCACAGTTTAGAAACTACCAGAATTTTGGACCTGTGAATTACACATAATAGCTTTTTTATCTTAATTTATGCAAGCACCTACTTTCTAAAAGGTCTGCTACAGCTCCAGGATCTATTGCATTTTCAAATACCTGCACAGAAAAAATAGGGAAAAGTAAATTTTCTAAGTTTGATTAATAGGTACTTATGGAAACTAAAGATATGCTTGCAAATAATTAGCATATGTAAAATTCAGCCATATAATATTTCAGGACTCAACAGAAGCACTTTTAATAAGAGTATGGATAAAACACAATATCCAACTGCGTTTCTACACCACTGAATTTATCTCCCCAGCCTCTAGGAGTTAGCCAACATGCTTAAAATGTCATCACCTTGAACTAGTTTTACCACCTGTTGCTAAAAGGACATCTCTCACCAATCTCAGAGTCTTGTAACTAGAAAAACACTGCATGCAGTAGATACTCATTAAACGTTGGCTGACTGGGTTCTCTTCCCAAACAACTGGTTGTGTTAAGGAGGAACATAAACAGAAATTCTGCCTACCTGTATAACAAAAGAAAACCGAAGTGCTAGCAGTTAGACTCCTAGAGAATCCCATGAAGTTTTAAATGTATAATGAAACAAAAGAAAAACTCTGTGATAACTCTAGCCATTGCCAAATCTATCTATTTTGTCCTTGAAATAAAAGGTTCTGGGATGGTATTGAAAAAAAAGATTCATCAAGTAAAAGCCTCTTCTGTAAACCCTATTTAGAACCATGTGGGAAGCAACAGTTTTCACCAGTTTAATGTCAGGTTGTAAAGTTCTAATATACAAACCCTTACTGAAAGTAGAACCATTGTTTTGTTTGTTTGTTTGTGGGTTTTTGTTGTTGTTTGGGTACTGGAGATTGAACTCAGGACCTTGCACTTGCCAGGCGGCACTTAGGCCACTGAATTTATCTCCCCAGCCCCTAACTTTCTGATTTAAATGTATTTAAATTTAAGCATGGTTAAAAATCTGCCCTTGGATCCAAAGTCAGGTCTGCCTTGAAGACAAAAATGGAGACTACCCCCTCTAAGGCATTTTTGTCTCACTGACTTGGGTTTATTAAGCAAATCTCGGTAATTTTTACCTAAATTACTTCAATAATTGCGTTCTTTGCCTTTGCTAATTGTTAAGGGTTGAACTGTGTCACCCTCAATATTCATAGGTTGAACTCTTAATGCCAGCATCTTAATATCTGACCTTATTTCCAGAAAGTCATTCTGCATGTAATTAGTTAAATTAGAATGAGGTCACAGTAGAGTAGGTTGGACCCCTACCCAAATATTATGGAGTTATTATTTTAAAAAGGATACTTGAAGCATAGAACTGTTAAGAGTAGACAAAATAAATTCAACATTTTATATGCACAAAGAATGATTCATGAACCAAGCACCACTGAGAATCAGAAAAGGGTCAGTGGGCTCCATTGTTATAAAGTAGACAGAGAGATCCTATAGGCTGATGTAGAAACAGAACAAAGAAAATCTGGTTAGAATAGGAAAGCCCATTAGAAGTGAATTAAGTTTCTGATTGGTAAAGTTCCTAGTCAGAGGTTGGTTGGCAGTCTTTAGTCTTCTTTTATAGTTTACTTATAAAGAAATTTAAATTACTGGAGGTATTCCAGCTTAATAACTCTCTACCTTTTCGAAGTATTTTTAACAACATGCACTGGAGTTGTATTGCCACAAGCCAAGGAACTACCAGAAACTAGGAGATGGTCCTAGAACAAGATCTCTCCCTAGTCCAGTGGTGGAGAACCTATGGCATATATACCACAGCAGGCATGCAGGGTCCTCTCCACAAGTACACGGCCATATTCCCCAAGCATCCAAACATTAGATAACAGCAAACACATAGGGGTCATGCCCATGCTCAGAAAGGAGTAGCGGCACCAAGGGATGATGTCCTCAGCCGCTACTCATTAGCCACAACTCATTGCATGCCTGGTCAGTGTACTGCCAAGGAGAGAGATGGAGAGGGAGGGAGAGAGAGAGACGGAGAGGTAGAGGGATAGAGGGATGGAGAGATGGAGAGACAGAGAGAGACAGAGAGATGGAGAGGAAGAGAAAGAGACAGACAGGCAGAAAGACAGAGAAGAGAGACGAAGAGAAATATATATTTGCTTGGATTTGGCTGAGTTTTAACATATTCATTTTATTAACACAAGAGTTTAGCTTGGAGTTTTCTTATGAAAAAATGAAATTTAATATCTAAGATTTAGCATTAATCTAATTAGGAGACTAATGGACTGGGGCTATAGCTCAGCAGCACCATGTCTGCCTGGCAAGTGTGAAGTCAAGTTTAGTTCCTGGTACCAAAAAAAAAAAAAAAGACTGAGATTCTTTTAATATTGTGCTATTCTTCTAACATATTTGGATCTACATCATCACATTTAGTTGTTTATGAAAATAAGAGCAAAGATATATGTATTTGTTTCATTTTTTGCAGAAGTGCCTAAAAGGTAGGAAATGCACTCAGATGCCATTTTCAGAGAAAGCCAAAAGCTGGTGGACAGTGGAACATTGCCCCCTTGCACTGTTGGTCAGTAAATTCAAGAAGAACCTGAGCTGGAAACCACTGCCATAGATTCTTGATTCAAGACATATACAACGCTTTAGTGCTAATAGTGTTAGCTATTTTTAGTATAGGGATAGATTTGTATTTTTAGTATAGGGATAGATTTGTATTTTAAAAAAAAATTGTGTTTCTGTAGACTCCCAAGTCTTGAACACAAAAATATGACTATAGAAGAAAAAAAAAAAAAAAAAGCAAAACTGAGAACAGTGGAAGATCATTCCAGAAGGCCTACAAAGAATCATTTGGAGTGACTGAACGCAATGAGGAATATATATGTATTTTGTATAGTGTAAATGTTGTGTGTCACACATCAAGTGTCAGATAGCACTTTGACACCAATCATAAAAGTGTTGCAAAACTTGGTGGAACTGAAAGCAGTTTCTTAAGGAAAAACTGAGGCAATATTCCCAGTATCTTAGTTTTTGCAACCATTTTTCTAACACAAATCATCTGATAACTACAAACTTTCAAATTTCACCATCATAGCAAAACATGGTAAGACCTGCTCTGATGGGGACTTTATCAAACTGGCCACATTATCTGGGAAAAGATGATGTCACTTCTGTTACGTGACATGCAAGAGATGTCACTTAACAGAAAACACCATTAAAGACTGAGTCCTATGAGTGACAAGTGATGTTAGCAGCTCAACACTGACTTAACAAAAGGCAGCCTGTTACTGCATGTGGTTATAGAAAGCCAAGACGCAAATAATGACACAAGGCTAGCAGCAATATATCATGCTACAAGGCTAGCAGTAATTTTGTATTACACTGGTGGTGACATCATGAGAGAAGAGCTGGAAAAACTGGTGTCTCTGCCCGGAAGAACACATGGGATAGAGATACCTAATACTTTGATGGAGGTTTTTCATCATAAGACCAAAAAAAAGTGGTTTCAATTACTAGTGATAGGGCTCCTTGAATGGTGAGGGCAACATCTGGTTTCATACAATTCCTTAAAGAAGCCAAACATCCAGTCATTCAGTGTCACTGTACTACACATCAAGAAGCTCTCTGTGCCAAGGAAAGCAGTAAGAAAAATTGGGTGATATTATCAAAGATAACCCCAAAAATGTGAATCACATCACGGCTAGTACTTTTTTTTTTCCAATCAGATTTTATTGGGACACTTAGATATACATAAGGATCACATTCATCTTAGAGAATCTGTAGCTCTGTACTCTGAATTTTCACCAGTTTCAAGCACTTCTTGGTGAGGGTTAGGCATAGTACAATACTTTGCTTATGTACAATAATGTCCAGCACTTAGGTAGAGGATGAGTCCTGAAGAGATTTATGGCCTGCTTGGATGAAATTAGACTGTTGATAAATGAAAAAGGACAAGAATATCCACGACTCACTGATATGACCTTACTTAATAAATTAATGTTTTTACAAACTTTATACTTCAATGTACAAAAAAAAAAAAAAAAAAAAAAAAAGGCAAGGTATGAGGAAAACAGTAGAGAAGATATTCTGTCATATCAAAACATTTGAGAGAAAACTTCAGGTTTCAAAAATGCCCTTTAAAGTGGGCAGCTGAAATATTTTCCAAATGTATTTAGAAAATTCTACACTTGCAGTCAACTGTACAAGCCATCAGGAAATCAACAAGGTATTTTCTAGCATTACAACAGCTGCAAAGGAGATTTTGAGTAACAGATTTTTGCAGTTCCATGAATGAAGACAACCCTATTTTCTTAATTCTCCAGACAGAAGCAAATTTGAAGAGCTTGATCTTTCCTGCTTATATTGGTTAGACTGCGACCGAAATTTCAAGGAAGTTTTATGTGGAAAAATGAACACTGATCTGTGTACAATACTTGAGAAGACAGGAGTGTAAAGGGTACCAAGGACAGCATAGTCAGTAGTTCTGAAAATGAAATTCTTAAAGTGTGGCCTTCCCTGGCAACCAATTTGGTCAATGAAGGCACTTGGGATTGCTTTTCTTACTTTGTTTGGATCAACTTATAGTTATTGAGCAGCTGTGTTCACCTTTGAATTACATCAAATCAGACACAAGAAACAGACTAACAAATAACCTGAGTGCCACATCTATTGCTCTCAAACTAACCGAGTAGGAGACAAAGTTCAACATATTATCAGCATGCATAAGAGCAAAGATCTTTGTTTTTATATTTTTCTGCTGGATGATTAAGACCAAGATAAAGCAAGACCTATGAAACAAGAGTTGTAGCTTTTGGATCTGACCATCCAGCAGAAAAGTATAAAAACAAAGTATAAGAAGTAGGGGCTGGGGAAATTGCTCAGTGGTCTAAAGCACCTACTTAGAACAAGCTTAGCAAAGCACAAGGGACCGAAGCTCAATCCCCCAGCACCACATGCCAGCCAGCCCC